TCCCTCGTCACAAGTGACGAGGGAGCATGGAGCCGGCTTCCCGGCCCATCAGGAAGCCGAGCAGCTTGTAATGACTCCCTGCCTGGTTTCCTGATACCGGAGGTATCGGACTAGGCATCTGAGCATTTGGGCGAGTACGAGTTCTCTCCCAAATACTCGGCATCGGCGCTGTTACCGATACTAGTATTTGTATCGGTGCATTTCTAATTTAAAGCATCACTCCACGCCATAAAGTTCTATATATATATTTAATACAAGTCGCTAAATGAAGAACAGAAACAGTATTTTTTATTTTTTTTTGCTTTTCCTGTCCCATTTGGGAGATTTCTCTTCACTTCCTCTCTTCTAGACACAACAAGTCAGAGGAAATCTCTCCAAAGTGAGTGAAACCCTCTCTTAAACAGTTGTCAGGACAAACGAGGGTATCCCATTTGGAAAGCTTTCCCTCTGTTGCCATGACAACTCAAAATCTTGGATTGCCCCTCCCACTTAATTCTCAGTAACAATGGTCAGAAAGACAGTTATCAATCTATTTATAATCAATTTACAGAGCCATTTGCTCTGCAAATCTTTCTGAACGCTCATTCTCCTCGGATAGACACAACAACGAACGTTCTTAGATATATTTTCTTCTCAGGGTAAATGTAATGTAATACCCCATTATGGCCACTAGATGGAGCGGAGGAGCACAGAAAATTATATTTGCTCCTCAGCACCATCTAGTGGCCACAGAGTCACAGTCGCACTTTCAAGTGAATTGACCTTCCAAGGTTATCCACGTTATTATCTAGGGCCTTAGTCTATTTATGTCTTTTTAGCTGCCTCTGGAGGCTGACTGCTGAAATAGAGCTTGGAAGGACATAAAATGTGCCTATAAAAGACAATTAACTGATTGCACTTTTATCTGTAAAAAACATATCAATGAACTGGACTTGCTATATTTTTCTTGATGGTCAGATGTTTCGCTGGTTTTCAGAATTGAGAAAGCTGGTTGGATGACCAGTGAACCGTCTTAAAAAAATAGAGCAAGTCCAATTGCTTTGATTTATTTTTTACAGATATACCATGCCCTGGACGAATGAGAACCTTCATCGACTGATTGCACTTATGTTTTTTGTTTTGGGTCAAGAACCTGACAGAGTCTGTTCTTTTCAATCCGTCAGGCCTGACTGGTAGACTGGCATTCGGAGAAGTGCAACCACTTTGCTGCACTACTCTGTAGGACGCACTATATGACCTTGTTGGGTTGGGCGGCAGGTTTACACGGCGGAACGCTTTT